GTCGGAAGAGCCCGCCCTTTCCGAGTGGGAGAAAGTGTCCCTTCCTATCGACCCCGGCGTCGTCCTTCTCGACATTGCTTTTGTGCCCGAGGACCCTAAGCACGGTAACTTCACTTCATTCCACTGCTCCATCTACCATCTTTCTTTTCTTTCTACACTTTGTTGTTTGGTTCCTCAGAAAAATTCATGAGCTGGAATTAACTCAAGGAAATTAAATTTGAGCGTGGGTTAATTGTTGTGGGTAGGTTTTCTTTTGGGGACCAGGCAAACCATTTTAGAGACAAAGGATGGTGGAGACACTTGGGTTGCGCGTTCAATTCCGTCAGCTGAAGACGAAGATTTCAACTACAGATTCAATTCCATTAGCTTCAAAGGCAACGAGGGTTGGATTGTTGGAAAACCTGCAATTTTGTTGCATACTTCTGATTCTGGAAACAGCTGGGAAAGGATACCGCTAAGCTCTCAGCTTCCTGGAGATATGGTAAAGCTTTCTCTTACACATACGTCCACCATAATTCTGCACGTACGTATCAATATCAATTTTAGATACACTACAACTCATTTAATCTCAATATATCTCCAAAGCTTGTTTCTATGCAATGGAAATGGATATTTCGTTGGCGTGGTTTGATTCTTGCTCACCCTTATGTTGCAATCAGAGGCTACAAAGCATTGGGTGACCCTGTGTTTCCAAATGCATTGAACTTCTGTTGCCGATTCTGTTATGAAACATATCCTTCCTTCCTAGGATATATTTGTTCCAGTAAATCTTGGTTCCTTGTCATTGTTTTATCAGAGGATGTAAACAACATTGTCTTCCATTTGGATATATAGCCTATCGGTAAGCTGAAATAAGTGATTCTGCTATGATATCTCCAGGTTTATATAAAGGCAACTGGTGAGAAGAGTGCAGAGATGGTGACTGACGAAGGTGCAATTTATATTACATCAAATAGAGGCTACAACTGGAAGGCTGCTGTTCAGGAGACTGTTTCAGCTACTCTTAATAGGTATGTTGCTTCTAAAATCTTATATGACTACATAACCATTCAAGGAAATTTTCTTTTAGTGGTTGGATTGAATATTATAGTTGAAAACTTAAAATTCCAACAAAAAAATTTCAATTTTAAGATTTTACTTACCGTGAAGACATGTGATGATTTATTTTAATTTTCCTGAGCTCTTTACATTTTTTTGAGTTGGTTACATTACATGGCTGCTCCTTGTTAATGATATAAAAGCAACAAGATTCATGTTTCTTCATTGCTTTTTCAGAACAGTTTCTAGTGGCATTAGCGGTGCAAGTTACTACACGGGAACTTTTAATTCCGTGAACCGCTCGCCTGATGGAAACTATGTGGCTGTGTCAAGCCGTGGTAACTTCTATCTTACTTGGGAGCCCGGCCAGGTGAGTTTCTCCTATGCAATATGGCTTTTCTTTCTGTCTAATCACTCTCTTTTTTTCCTTTACCCCCCTAAAATTTAGATACAATAAGGTTAGAGAACCATGTTGTTAGGGGGTAGTTTAATTATTGTGCAAACATACAGGCTGTAGTTGCATTGGCTGCTACTACTGCACCAATGTGAATTCCTTAAAGGAGTGAAACAGGTTGGAGGAGACTTAACATGACATATGTTGATCATTGAAGTACGGGGACAGGGCATGATAGTCAAAGATTTGATGGAAATGATGGCCTTCCATAAGGCTAAAATAGGGAAGAAGAAAATAGAACCTTAATTGAGTTTTTGATAATTTTCAACCACATGTTGTATCTCCGAAGCATGAGGACTCATTTGTAGCATTCTTGCAGTCATTCACTTTGATGACATTAATTATTTAAAATTGTATGCTTATAAGTTATATGTACTTTAGAAAATGTTGTCATTTTGTTTGTGACACTGGTAGTCAATAACTTGTTAATTATCCTGTGTTGGCTTTATGCATGTTCTCATTTTAATTTTTTAGTTTCGTGTGGGATATTCACAAAGCACTCGTGTTAACTGTGATTGCTTGCCTTTAATTTTTCAGCCATTCTGGCAGCCACATAACAGAACGGTTGCAAGAAGAATTCAAAACATGGGTTGGAGAGCCGATGGTGGTCTTTGGCTTCTTGTTCGTGGAGGAGGACTTTATCTGAGTAAAGGTACAGGGGTAAGTAAACAATGCTTTACCCTGTAACCTTAAGTTGCAAGAAGAATTCACCCTATAACCTTGGTGTTCTCTTATTGTTGAAGCAAAGTTATTGTTTATTGTTTCAGTTAACAGAGGAGTTTGAAGAAGTTCCAGTCCAAAGCCGGGGTTTTGGCATTCTTGATGTTGGGTACCGATCAAAGGTAACTCATTCACCAAATTTAATCTTTCAACCTTCTAGTTTCTGGAACCCATCTTTTTACATGTTTAGTGACTGTATTATGCAGGATGAAGCTTGGGCAGCTGGGGGGAGTGGGATTTTGTTGCGAACTACCAATGGTGGCAAGACATGGACCCGTGACAAAGCAGCTGACAATATTGCAGCAAATCTATACTCCGTAAAGTAAGTAGAACCCTTCAAAAAGATTGTCTGTGTTTGATATTTGTAATTTGGTCAAATCGAAAATCTTCCAAATGCAAGGCACACACCTATGTCTTGTCAGTTATTAGGATGATGTCCTTTACCCTTGTTAACCACTTCAAAATATGAGAAAACTCCAGTTGGAGGCCAAAAGAATAGATAAAACCACATAGATTTGGAATCTTATAGATATATTGCATCAAATCGGAAAGAACTAGCAATTCAATGGAAGGTCCACATCACATGAGCTCTTGTTTATCTGTAGCAGACAAGCTCTTATAATTTCTGTATTGGTGCAGGTTTATCGATGACAGTACAGGATTTGTGCTGGGAAACGATGGGGTCTTGCTTCGGTATCTTGGATGAAGTTGTAAACTTGTAATTTACACACGGTAAATATATTTGCGTCTCCTCTTGGGCCTTCTTGGAATATCTCATTTCATCATTCAGAAATTTTGGAAAATTTTATTTATTGACACGTGCATATATGCAGGTTGATCAACGGTGCTTGCAATTTTGTACTGCTGCTGATATACATATATGATCAAGTATCAAAAGCTGTGAAGAGGGGGTCAAAGTGTCACTCATTTGATATTGTAATTTTGCTGTAATTAATACAAATAAGAATTACCATTCGACAACAAATATTATGTCTATAGAAATGGTGGCTCTTCCTTCGGGGTCAATGACTCAATCTCATGCTTTAGATGTGAAATATGTTTGTCACCAACACCACCACGATATCTTTATTTCTTTCTGAAACACAAATACAAAACTTTTAATTCGGTAATTAGCAACTCTTCTTTAATCGGATTGTTTATCATTCTCTTCCAAATTCCAATGTACTAAAATTACAAGGGAAGAGAGCAATAATAATAATAACAATGTTAAGTTGTAGTCAAGGAGCTATTTTGGTTGAGTTTTGCTTCTGGTTCCTTGTTCTATCCAAGTGAATTGAGAAAAGTCAATTATACCCGTTCTTTGTTCCGTAATATAGTCAATGAATTTGGGGTAGAAACGACATTAAGAATTCCTTACATTTCCAATTGGTTCCCCCAGGGAGTTATTCGCAAATTCTGTTTTGGACCTTCCTGCAATGAACAATGATTTTTCTGGTCAGACTGAAAATTAGCAATGATAAGAGGATGAAAAAGAAATCAAAGGAACGGAAACTGCTGACAAAACGATAACCCCAGCTTCTTACTCTTTTTTATACTTGTAGCGGGAATTGGAAAGCTCACCCACTGGAGGCCGCAGCTCAACAACACCACCAAGGTCTTCTTTTCTCTCTCTCTTTCTCTCTCTCTTTCTCTCTTTCTCTCTGGTAGTACATGTGTTTGAGGAAATGCTTCATAGAAATGTTACCACCCTCCAGTGGGTCATTTAAGCAGGAAAAATGGTTCACAGTTCCATTGTTTGATAAATGGTGCCTAATACCACTATTTATTGGGTTTGCTTGTGAAAGCCTCATGGAGGCATAGGAAGGAAAAGTGAGATTTCATTAGCAGCATTAAGATTGAGTTTAGTTTTAGTGAAAAAGATAAGAAATATAGGAAAAGTTAGATTTTTTTAATTAAATTATGTTTATATTTAGCTGTTCAAGTATATTTCAGCCCTCAAATTTTATTTATTTTGGTATATCTCCAATTTGAATTAAATGAGCCATAACTCGTGATTTCGCAGACATGCTTATGTAAGTGAGAGAGGGGAAATTAAAGGAGCAAAGCAATGATACTCTGTTCTTATAGTCCTTCTGCTCCAAGCTCTCATCTTTTATCGACCGACTTTTCTCAGTCTTTTAAGAGTCCCATACTCCCTCATCCGGTACGTGCTGTTTTCTTTATCATCTTCTTCGCTTTTTGTCCTGCTGTATTTCTTTGCCCTTGTTATGACTATTTAATTGTGCTATTTGAATATTGTGATTAGTATATATTATCATGTGGATGTGCTTCTTAACTTCAAGCGGATGAGGAAGTGAGAACTTATTGTTCTTCTTAAATACTATAAAATGTGGCCATTTTGTTCAGAACAACTGTTTCTATTTCTATTCTCATGGTTGATTTCTTTTATGCTATATTGACTACATAATGCGTGTCTGTTGAATCTCAATTTACTCAGTGTACGCAGCAGAGAAGATGGCCCGACCGGTCTCAAAGAGCTTCTAAAGTTGTTGCTTACTATGGCTTGAAGAAACCACCTTATAAATTTGTAAGTTTACAAGATAAAACCTGTAATTGAACTACGTACTATGTGATATTTGTTCTTAACTGCTTAAGTAACAGAGAACACCCCATTCATAAGGCCCAGTGCTAAACCAATTTTAGTGACTTGAAATCAAGTTGGATAAGTCAGATTCAAGTATCACATTAGGTGCATGATGCATGCTTGATACATTCTCAAGAAGTTTGTTGGTTTTCTATTTGCCTTTGTCAAAGTCTTATACCTCATTGGCCTTGCAAGATATTTTGGTAATGCAGTCATTTGGTTTCTGAAATTCGTGTGGTGTTGAATTTGATTCTCTGAAAGCCTTACTTGTAGGAGTTATCCATCTCATGTTGTGCCGCTTATTTTTTGTCAGTTCTTACGCTCCAAACAGGCTTCCAAATGCTGCATCCTTGAAATTTGATACAAAGCAATTTTTGGAACATAAAAAGTATAATATTTTATACTATAGATACATATATGCATAACATTCCACCTTGCAATTGTGCTGTTCAGTTTGTAGCAGTTTTTAGAAGTCTTTCCATGACCAGTGATCTTCCTTGACTGAACTGCACTTTCTCTTTGTAGGATGCTTTGGAGCCCTATATGAGTCAGAAGACACTGGACGTTCATTGGGGAGGCCATCATCGTAATTATGTGGAAGGTTTGAACAAACAGCTGGAGAAGAATGACATACTATATGGCTACAGTTTTGATGAACTTGTCAAAGCAACATATAATAATGGGAATCCTTTACCTGAATTCAACAACGCTGCTCAGGTATCTGCAAGATTGTTAGCTAATTTATGTACTTTTCTTGACTGGATCATTTTCAAATGGTTTGATGAGCTTTCTTAGGAGTCACTGGTCAATGATAGGAAACATTTAGATTGACTTTCTTAGGTTCAAATGTACTACTTCTACTACCTGACAACATCTAATCTAGTCATGTAGCCTCGAGCATAACTGTGGCTTTATCTTGTTCAAATTTCCAGTTATCCTGATTGATTGTTCTAAATGTTTTGTGTAGTTCATATTCTTTGGAGACTGGGAATTGCAAACTTAAAGTCCTGTTTTGGGCATATCATTAATAAAAGTTTCAAATGGACATGTTTTTGATAGTTGATATTGAACAACAAGGCAAATTTACTTTGTTTTCCTTCTCTAATTTCAGGATTATGAGATGTGATCCTTCGACTTTTATCCTTGTAGGTCTGGAATCACGACTTTTTTTGGGAATCCATGCAACCTGGAGGCGGGGACATGCCCAAACTAGGCGTCCTTCAGCAGATTGAAAAGGATTTTGGTTCCTTTACAAATTTCAGAGAGAAGTTTGTAGAGGCAGCACTTACACTATTTGGCTCTGGCTGGGTTTGGCTTGTTTGTAAGTCCTTTCTTAAGTTAATTTCTGAACTTTTGTGAGTATTATTCTTTTAGAATTTCTAAGAATGAAATTTCCTCGTATTCGTTGTGATGGTGTACGGCTGAGTCAAGCAAGGCCTATCATGCTGTGTTCTATTTGTTTTATGTTTGTAGATACAAATAATGAGGATTTTTTTACTATTTGAGTGTCAGGTTGTATCTTGCTTGATATTGATATTTATGGAAGAAATGCACAAATATCACCAAGTGTTTGTATTCATCTTGTGGCCTTGTTTTGCTAATCAACTCCTCTGGTTACTGATAGTTTTCCTTGTTTCTTTTTCCCAGTGAAGAGAGAAGAGAGACAGCTTAAGATAATTAAAACTTCAAATGCCATTTGCCCACTCATCTGGGATGACATAGTAAGTAAAATCGACTTTTCCCAATGTTATTTTCTACATTTTGATTTCAAAAGTTGGCATTAATCACATCTTGTTCTGCAGCCCATAATCAGTTTGGATCTCTGGGAGGTGTGTAAATGATCTCCCTCTCTCTCACTTTCTGTATCTCTCTCTGCTATGTGCTCTCCCTCTCTCTTGTGGAGAGAGAGAGAGAGAGAGAGAGAGATAAAAAAAAATTCTTAAACATGCTGATAGTGTCTTTGCTTTCTTTCTCGCAGCATGCTTATTATCTGGATTACAAGGTATGTAGTAGTATAAAACTTGACTTTTTGACTTTGTTTCCATCAGCTGGCCCTATTTTTATGATGTTTGGGTATCTTGTTAACAGAATGACAGAGGGAAGTATGTGGATGTATTTATGAACCATCTTGTGTCTTGGAATGCGGCAATGGCACGCATGGCCCGAGCAGAGGCCTTTGTGAATTTAGGGGAACCTAATATCCCTGTTGCTTAAAATGCTGTTAGAGCCAAGTAGGTACTGCGGCTAACTGTAATGAAGAGACTTCCCTACTAGGTTTATGGGAGTCCCACGGAGGTTGAGCTGGATTTGGATGTTGTGCTATTTTGTTTATGGGTGTCCTCACGAATACAAGGATGGATCTTGGTACGAGAGATGCAAGCTTAGAGAGTAACACTATAGAATAGAGGAAGAGATGGTGCATCATCGTATGCTATTAGAGTAGAACAAGTGTTTGTGTTTCTATTTCTATGCGCATTGCTCATTGTAGATTTCTTGTTTGTTAGCCTTTAGTATTAAGTAACGTGTGTTTGTTGATTCTGTATTTACTAATCATCAGTGTGCAGTAGAAAGATGGCCTGACGATTTGGTCCCTGCCTGCCTAAACTAATAAGGGTAATGCTAGGCTTACCACATTTTTCATACCACCTCTCAAATAGAGGTGGAGCCCACCAATACAATGGGGCTCCCCTCTATTAGAGAGGTGGTATGAATGTGGTATGAAAAATGTGGTAAGCCTAGTATTTTCCAACTAATAAAGTAGGCAAAGAGACCACCGCCCACCCTGGACACGAGATTAGGATTTGGCTAATAAGTCAGTTTCTTCTATTATTCAGGAGATTAGGGTTGCATGAATTCTCCACAAGTTTGATGCTTTTCTTTGTCAAAGTGTCATAGACTGACTGGTTGGGCTTGCAACAACATAACATGTAGAGTTTCTGCCCTGAAAACTTAAAAAGGCGACTACTTGTCATTTTCGTTGACTGGTTGTCTATGGTGAGACGAGAGCAATTAGCGCCCTTGTCTATGTAGGGTAATTTTCCGAATGCAACTTCAACATTCCTTTTTGTTTTCTTTCTAATACAAAATTACAAGTATGGACACCAAGAAAGAAAGAAATGGTAGAAAATTGAAAAGAAAGCATTGACCCTTGACTTTGCGGCAAAGTTAGGCAAATGTTTACATCTACAAGAAGAATCAACTTTTGGAGTAACCAAGCTAGCTCCTAGTAGTACTAGATCTCTTCTAATATTGGAGTTAAATGCTGACTGAGTTGTTGAATCGAAACTAATCTTGGGAAATTATGTTCAGTCCAATCACCCTGATAATCCTTAAAATTCTTCCTGGCGTGGCGTATTCCTAGATTTACGTTGACTCAATGGAACGGAAGGTCAACAAACAAAACGCAGCCCATTTTGAGAACAATTGTGCTGGGCTGGGCTGGGCTGGGCTGCCTGACTGACCGATAAGAATTTCATTATTATTTTCAATTTATTCATACTTTTTAAATTATATTATTAATTATCAAACTACCGCTCGTTTCTCAGGTAAAAACAAAATAACAAAAAGGGCAAAAAAACAAAAAACGAAAAACAGAAAACAGAAAAGAAATCCGAATCCAAAAGCAGGAGGGACTCTGCCAGTTGTAACTTGTAACTGAAATGGGGTGGCCGACTCTGAAAAAAACAAAATTCTCATAAAATAAAAATAAAAATTGTCAGATAAAATTAGAGTGTAAATTAAGTATAAATAACATGGAAAATAATTATTAATAAAATAATAACAAACCCAAATAGTCCGAGTCCTCCTTAATTCTCCTTAATCCTTAATTTTTAATTTTGAGAGAGAGAGAGAGAGAGAGAGAGGCATAGAGGGACTCAATTTCTGGGAAGAAGGGAGGAGAGGTTCTCAATTTCTCACCTGATGATCAGAGAGAGATTCTGAGGGGGCAATTAGCCAACGAAGCATTCAAGAATTGAATTGAAGAAAGCGCGCAGTGCATCGATAGATTTTGATTGCTACATCAATCAATATAATCTATTACCATTAGATCTCTCATTGTCTGGGGGTGGGGGATCCCGATTTTCTTGACGAATTCAACGATCTCGCTCTTATATTTGTAATTGTAATTGATTTTAGATTTGGAGAAGAGATGAGATGATTCGGAAGACGACATCAGATTGTGATTGGCAGAAGATATGCAGATGGAAAGCCACTTCTGTTATCATCATGCAGATCAAGTGATTTCATCATCCCATTTACATAACCGATATCAAAATAACATTAAAAACGATTCAATGTCGTCGTCTTCTTCCTCGTCACTCTTTCTGCCGAGCTCTTCGCCGCCGCCATCACTGCTGCAGCAATCTTATTCTCCGTCTTCTTCGTCTCCCGCTTTGGTCGGTGGAGGTAGAGGAGGAGAAGCAGGTGCAGGTTATATAGAACACGTCGTTTCCAAATTTGACACGCTTGCTGGTGTCGCCATCAAATACGGCGTTGAGGTACGTACTTTCATTCCTATTTTCATTTCATCATCTCCGTTTTTTCGTTTCTTTTTTTCTGTCAATTGGACTTCTTCTGCTTGAATTACCATTTAGAATTGCTAGGTTTTCTTTTTCTTATGTTGTGGTTGGTTAATTGAATTTGAATATTTGCTGGATGCTGAGAAATATATAAGGCTGATAGCTAAGGTAGTCAATGACAATGCGTATGATTCTTTGAGTTCTATTGTGCCTTTTACTCCAAGGGGTGTGATTGTTTTGTCTTGATACTAATGTGTATGTTCCTTTTCCCCCAGTCTAATATCAGGTTGGTTTTTGTATGCTGGTTTTTTCGATTATTGAGCTTCTGCTTTTTTTTTTCCCAAAATTAAAAAACAAAATTTTAATTTAGTATTTTTGATGATATTGTAGGTGGCCGACATCAAAAAGATGAATGGCCTTGTTACAGATCGTCAAATGTTTGCCCTCAGGTTTCTTCAGATTCCACTACCCGGGAGGCATCCTCCGTCCCCTTGTTCCAACACACAATGGTAATTAGATGTCTCTACTCTTAATTGGTTTTATTATACTTTCTTTTTCTTTGGTAACAACTTGTGGTTTTGCCAACCATTCTGCTTCTTCTTGCTACTGGAGATTACTTTGGGTCCATAAACGATACCTAAGGCCCCACTTGTTTGGTGTAACTGCAGAAGCCCTCTTCTTTTGGATATGCTTTTGGTTTTAAAAGTAGATATGAGGACTGGGTTTTAGGTCAATGTTGTGTCCATAAACATAATTAACACCTCTAGTTATTCGACTAATCTAGGATCGAGGATCTGGAAAGACTGTTAGGAAATGCACTTCTGGAGCAGCTCCCCATATTTCTCTGCTGTATATTAATTAGTTCAACTGGCATTTTATGTCACATTCCAGATGTTGCTTCCTTTTCTAAAGGGGAAGCCTCGATCACAAAGTTTACTTATTTTAGGATGCATTTTAAGGTGATTATTTAGAAAACAATCTTCTTTTTCTTTTTCTTTTTAAATTTTGTTTACTCATAGTACCTTTCCCTGCGAAAGTATATGTGTAGGTTTCCAAAGCATATGTCAAGATATATGTTACAAGGTCAATTTATAGATTCTGCTCTCAAAAATGTCTATAACATGTAAAGTTAGAACAACAATAACTATTCAGTCTCTTCGTACTCTATTAATATTGCTAAAATTCAAGTTATGTAACGATTTAGTACTTTGAAGTGGATAGTATAGCTGGTAGTTTCTTCTTTTATTTGTTTTGTTTGTGGTTCATTTGTGGCTTACCGTGTTGACACTTATTTACACAGCCAGACTAGCTCTGACCAGACCCCACCCCGCCACACACAATGTGATATGTTTGAATCATTCCGGTCCCTTAGAGTTACTCCTCAGCGGAAAGCCTCCCCGGCTATGGACTCTTTACAAAGTTATTATGGGCTGAAACCAAGAAATCAGAATTCCATAACTGAAGGTTTTGAAATGGCAGTCTACAAAAATGGAGGTGGCCATTATTTAGAAAATGGACACTTCCTTGGAGGCTCGCCAGCTTCTGACAAACCTTTCGGCCAACGTCGAAAGTCAAGAAGCTTAGTTAAGCTGGATGAGAATGGTGAACTTTCAGATTCCATGCCTGTTACGGAAACTAGAGAAGGTGACTGTGATCAATTTGGTGAAAAACTAATTAGGAGGCGTCAGAAATCTGAAGCTGACTTTTCTCGCACCCCTGAGATGCTGTTGGGAGATAACAGTGGCGGTGGCACTGCCGGGTTTTCAGCATTTACAGGGCAGTGCTTGGCCCTTAGACCCAAAGCAGCTAATCGAACTGCTTTAGGAACTGATGGTGAAGCTGGTGGCTTGAATCCTATACCGGTAGGTTTGGGTGATTCTTTTATAACAGACGGGTTGTCTGGAGTGAGGAAGTCGTCAAGCACATCAAATTTGCAGGATCACGACAGTAGCAGTTCTGCATTCATCTGGTCAACATCCAAGTGGAGTTTGAAGCCAGATTTACAAGCATTTTCAACTGCGGCCATTAGAAAACCAATATTTGATGGTTTGCCTAAGCCAATAACAGGTCGAAGAAAGGCTGCACTTGATTAATTCATTTGATTGTACTCTAATTGCCAATTTTGATCCATGTTTTGCACATGCATTACCAGCTTTCAAGGGGTAAATAGAAAGAAAAAAGAAAGGGGGGAAAAGATTTTTTCTAAGACCCTACATCATTAATCATTGAAATACATGTGAATTTCCTGTTAGATGGAAAACAGTTCCAAGCTTTTGGAAGAGGTAACAGTCCAAGCCATGGATGGCCGCTTGGAAGGAGCAAGCGATCACATGCACAGTGCGAACAAAAGATTACTGGATATTTGCCAGACAAATTTGTAAGCACTTGGCCAGATTATAGAAGATGCATATTGGTTCTGGCTCTCCTTGGGTTTATGGGAGGATCTGTTTATAACATTATACATCATACTAGCTATTATTCTTTTGTGTTACTTTCGCACGGAAGCCACAATCTAATGTTCTTTAATACTGATCTTGTTTCAGCAGTTTGTATGTCTTCATCATCATCAATGTGCTTACCGCTACGTAAAAGATTGATCTTATCAATGTACTCGTATGCTGCCGATAAGTTTGTTTGATAATCTCAAATTACATATGTCACACCGTTTTATTTTAGGTTTATCGTCCTCGGCTTTGAATGATCTTTTCCTTTTCTTTTTTGAAGTCAATCCATCTTTCATTAAAGGTGCAATCCTACAGCGAAATCGTGGTATTCCTTAGTATCTGTACTTACAAACTTAATACAGCTTAGCAAATAGGCTGTATCGTCGCGAGGGTAGTGTTACAATAACAACTAGTATTTTTATTTTGGTCGGAAACAATAACTAGTTTAAAGGAAGAGTTGTCACAAATACAAGACTCATGGTCCATGGACGATCTGAAATTCTAAAGGAAAATACATCACGTGCAGTGAAATGAATTACAAATTGGTGCCAAACTTGATTACTCTCGTCTTGGGTAAA